GGATCATGGTCTCTGCCCCACAGGCAGGAGGCTGCACTTGTGCTGGGAACTTCCTGTGCAAAGGTATAGGTCAAGATTACCTTGTTGCTGGGCTGGGGTTGTGGCTCAGAGGTAGAGCACTTGCCTAGCATGTGTGAGGCACTGGGTTCGATTCTCAGCACCAAATATAAGTAAATGAATAAAGTAAAGGTTGGGGTAGGGATGTGGCTCAAGCGGTAACATGCTTACCTGGCATGTGCAGGGCGCTGGGTTCCATCCTCAGCACCACATAAAAATAAAATAAAGATGTCGTGTCCACTGAAAATTGAAAAATAAATATTAAAAAAATTCTCTTTTTAAAAAAATTAAAATAAAGGTCCATCAATAACTAAAAAAAAATATTAAAAAAAAAAGATTACCCCATTGCTAAGTAGGTTCTATGCAAGGACTATCAGTCTTGACCTTGAGTTCAGACACCAGCTGCTGGGGATAAAGAATTATGAGCACAGGTAGAAATTATAATTGCTTGCAGGTCCTTAGACCTCAAAGCCTACCTGCTTTGGAGGAACTTTCTTCCAGAAACCCTTTTCATGATAAAACTTATATAATAAATGTGCTGAGCCAGCTCTGGGTCACTGTTCCTCCATCAGAGAATGGTGTCCCACCTGGTCCAAGCTTTCTCTCTGTACATATTTTTTTGACCCTGTTAATCTCCCATAGCCCCTCACCAGTTTCTAAATTAGTGGCCATGCAGGTCACAGCAATTCACCATTACTTTATGTAAACCTAAGAAAGAGAGAAAAAAAGAGTACTTCCTCTAAAATTATGACACACCTCTTAGGCTACAAGATGCTTCTGACTTAGAAATGTTAAAACTGCTTATTTGGTTAATAAAGAGGGTAAGGAGGTCCTCAGTCTGAACTGTTCTGTTCACAGTGAACTGAACCCCATATTTATGACATTTAGCTCTTTTACTTTAGAGAGCCAACTATCTTTCAAAGAGATTAAAAATGAGAAAAAAAATGTCTTCCATATTTGCCCATGTATTTCCATTTCTATGTGTAGATCAAAATTTCTCTCTTATACTCCTTCCACTGGAAGAATCTAACATTTTCTCTACTGACAGTGTGCGGTTGATAGAGTCTATCATCTGTTTGTGAAAGATATTTTCATTAATTGTGAGATATTTCAATGAGGACTCTAAGCTGATTTTCTTTCTCTTTCAGTATTTTAAAGATGCCTCTCTATTGCCTCTAGCTCACATGGTATCTTCCTGAGGAAATATTTAATATTTTTCAAAATTTCCTCCCTTATTGCTGATTTTCAGCCATTTGACCATCGATGGTATGCCCAGGCTTGTGGTTATTTGTATTGCCTTCCTCAGGGCTCTGTGAGCTTCTGGGATCTGTAGTTTGTTGTCTTCATTTATTTGAGGGAAATCTTTTCATGTGTCTTCCTCTTGCTTTTCTTCTAAAACTCAATTACATGCCCATTAGATAAGTTTATAATGTCCCACCACTTTTAGAATATTGTAGGGGGGTTGTTGAGTTTTGTTTGTTTGTTCATTATATATATATATATATATATATATATATATATATATATATATAGAGAGAGAGAGAGAGAGAGAGAGAGAGAGAGAGTTTTGTTTTTTCTTTTTCACTCAATGTTTCCATTGACCCACCTTCAAGCTCACCAATTCTTTCCTGTGCTACATCCATTCTGCTAATAAGCCTATTTTACAGAATCCCTCATATCTAAGAATATGGTTACAATTAGTCTGCCAACACAGATCCTACTCCCAAATACAGTAACGTTGGAAACTAGGGCTTCAATAAACAAATCCAGGGGGACACAATTCCGTCCATAAAAATGCTCATTTTCATTTCTAATATTTCATTTAACTCTTCTTCTTTAGAGTTCTGTAAATTTTTCCATCTGACATGTTGTTCACCTTCTTCATTAGATTCTTTCACCTTCTCCCCCCACCCTTGTGGTGCTGACGATCAAAACCAGGACCTTGTACATGCTAGACAAGTGCTCTACCACTAAGCTACATCCCCAGCCTTAGATCCTTTTACATATTAATTAAAATTCTCTGATAATTTCACCATCTGCACCATCTGTGTCTGAGTTTTTTGACTGTTTTAGCTCATTTTATATTTTGGGGGGTGTTCTCTTATAATTTGGATTACTTCATGAATAAAATAGTAGTAGAGATTGTGGCAAATAACACAGCCACCCAGAAATGGACATATATTTTCTCTCAGTTGACTAGTTGAGAATTGATTCACTTTAGGCCCTATCCACCACTGGTTTTATGGACATGTGACCCAGGCTGTCCCATGGGGCCTGATTACTTAAGAAGTGGCTTGAACTTGGTTTAATGCTCTTATGTTGAAATTCTTCATAATTTGAACAGGGAATCTCATATTTTCTTTCTGTACTGGGCTTTGCAAGTTAAAGAGCTGGTCTTGCTTATAAATATGATTTAGCACCTGCTTCAGCATATCTGAAGATAAGGAGAGTGCCACAGAAATGATGGAAGTGTCAGTTCTCTATACACAAGTTTGCTTAAGTTATTGAGTATAAAGAGTGGGTGAGCCAATATACCCAGCCAATAAGATGGTGCTTTTAATAGCCTCTAAGTTCTGATCCAGAAATTAAATGTGGTGCTGAGGATCAAACCCAGGGCCTCACATGTGCTAGGCGAGCGCTCTACCGCTGAGCCACAATCCCAGTCCTGTATGAATGTGTTTTTAAAGGTAGAGAATGAGAATAATCTTATATGCCTTATAACCTTATAAATGTTCTTTCTACTGTATTATAAAGTCAATGGTCGATTATGTCTATGTACAATAACCACCTTCTCTTTTAAAATACAATATAAGTGGCTGGACATGGTGGCACATGCCTGTAATCCCAGCAACTCAGGAGGCTAAGGCAGAAGGGCTCCAAGTGTGAGGCCAGTTTCATTAAATTAGAAAGTCCCTGAGCAATTTAGTGAGACCCTGACTCAAAACAAAATACAAAAAGGCCTGAGCATGTGGCTCAGTGGTTAAGTGGCTAATTGGGTTCAATCCCCAATATGCCCCCCACACACATTTGTGTGTTCCATATAGATAAAATATAATGAAATTCATTTTAAATCACTAAAATGTAATGAAAATGCGTAGATACAGCTTAATAATACATTAACATAGATAAAAATAAATAACATACTTTTTTTTCTTCCATTAAAATATATAAAAAAGAAAAAGTACAGAAAAATATCCCTCTTTCACTGTTAAAGCTGGGATGTGGAATGTGCTCCAGGGGCTCATGTGCTGAAGGCTTGGGGCCTGCAATTGGGAGATGATGGAAACTTCAGGAGGTGGGGCCTCGTTGGAAGAGGTGGGACACTGAGGGTGGACCTCTGATGGGTATGATTTGTCCCTGGACCCTCCCTCTCTCCAGCTCCCAGATACCATGAGGTGAATAGCTTCGCTCTGCTATGCCCTCTATGCCATGGTGTTCTGCCCCACCACAAGCTCAGAACAAAGGAGTCAAAAGACCATGGGCTGAAACTTCTGAAACCAGGAGCTAAAATAAATCTTTCCTTCTTGAGGTTGGTTTCTCTCAGGTATTTTGTCATAGCAACAGAAAGCTGATGAACATACTCACCCCATTCCCTTCTGTTCAGTTCTTACCCCCACAGAGAAGCCCATTAATTGCTTGCCTGTGTGTTTGTTTTTTTATATTCATTTGTTTTTTGGTACCAGGGATTGAACCCAGGGGCACTTAACCACTGAGCCACATGCTCAGCCCTTTTTCTATTTTATTTTGAGGCAGGGTCTCACTGAGTTGCTGAGGCTGACTTTGAACTTGCCATCCTCCTGCCTTAGTCTCCCCAGCCACTGGGATTACAGACATGCACCACCACACCCAGCTTCCTATATGTTTTTTCAGTGTTGTTGAATGTGTGTGTAAATATAAGCAAATATCAATATATTCTTACTTTCTTCCTTTTAACATAAGAGGCAACCTATTACACAAAGTTTTGCATGTCATTCATTATTGCTTTTCAAACAATATATTTTGGAGACATTTCCAAAAAGGAATTGTACTATTTTTTAATGCTGCATTATATTTCCTTTGTACTTGTTACATACTTTATCCAAACATTTCCCTATTGTTAAGTGTTTGAGTCATTTCTAATCTTGGGCATTATTAAGATTCATTTTAGCATTGTATTTATGAGACAGCTGGAGAAATATAATTTGGAAGAAAAAACTCTAAACTCAGAAAATAAATGGTTTTAAGTTGACAGTTGGTTTTAACTTAGAAATCCATAAATGATTACAATTTTAAAAAAATATAATGGCTATAAAGTTTTACCTCTTGTAGACATTTTATTCTAACATCTTAGGTCAAGGACACCTTTGGAAAGCTGATGGATGCTATGAGTCCCTCTGCAGAAAAGTGTACATGTGCAAAAACTTCTCATAAAATGTTTCAACAGGTCATGGCTACCAACTGTGCTTGGTCATAGAGCTAAGATTTTCACATTCATGAACCACACTTATTCCAGTAAATTCTGTATTTCTAATTTCTCCTGTGGCAAGACAACGGAAGCACTTCTAGTAGTTGTTGGGATTAAAGCCTACGTACGGTTCATTGCCTTTGTTAGGCTCATATGGTGCCTTGATTTTTTTTTCTAAAATTGCAATCACTTTTTATAAACTAGGAGATTTTACACAAGGTCTGATATTTCCCAAGTCTCTTCAAAAATTAAAAATCTGGTGCTACTGGACACCCGTTGCTCCCTGACAGCCTAAGAAGCACACAGTCCCCTTCTCTTTCTCTTCAATCCTGTAGTCTGGCCTTAGAGGCATTTGGGTTTGAGATTTCCAGATAAGTCTTGAGTTTCAAACTTTAAGGTTTTGTCACTTTTATTGGCAGATTATTCAGAGATGAACAAAAAACAAAGTGAAAGCCACCAGTTTTTGGAAAATTTCCCTCCTCTCCCGAGTTCTCCTTACCAGGGGATAAGAGAAGAGGCTGGGGTGAAGGAGCAAGAGCTGGTGATCTTGTCAGCGGGTCTTGGTGTGCTCTTCATAGATGAGGGACATGGGTGATGGTCATGGTGGAAGGGCGAGGTGGAGGTAACAGGACACACTTCATCTTGGGCAGTTTGCTTTTTGATGTTACTATCTGAGTTGAGTGTAGCCTTGCTGTGGGACGTGACATCGAGAGATCTGGAACATTGGTCCCAGCTGTTGCAACTGCCAGGAGGGGTGTTTTTATCTTCTCCATCTGCTCCTGGGGCCTCTCCACCCATCTTCTTTATGCTCTGGCCTCCTGCCTCAACAGATGGTTCTGACTTAGTGGCATAGATAATATTTCTCCAAACACTTTCTCAATCCCTAACATGCATAGTTGACAAAATCCTCTACAATCACCTTAGGTAGCTTCCAAAAGACAGCATACTATCTATTAAATATTGTGTATTGCACAGCTAATATTTATTGGAGAATTTATAACGGACAATATATTGTCTATCAACTATTATGTATTATATATGTAGTATTCATTGAGAGTTTATTACATGTTAGGCACAGTTCAAAATGCATTTATTAGCTCATTTAATCCTCACAACCTCCCATGGTGTAGGTCCTATTATTCCCATTTTACAAGTGAGAAAATCAGAGAGAGAGGTTAACGACTTTCCCAAGGGAACCCACTTAGTCATGTGTACAAATATATGCACATGGTTTTCCCTTGGTGTCTACAGGGGATTGATTCTAGGACTTTAAGACCCCCAACCTGTGAACACTTCATCTAAACAAGGTCTGTTATATAATATGGCACAATATTTGCCTAAAACCAACACACAACCTCCCACATACTTTAAATCATCTCTAGATTACTTATAATACCTAAACTAATATAAATTCTATGAAATAGTCATTATAGTATGTTATTTAGGGAATGAGGTCAAGAAAAAAGCCTGCACATGTTCAGGATAGACACAATTTTTTAAAAAATGTTTTGGATTTGAGGTTGGTTGAATCTATGATAGTAATTTTATGATACAGATTCAAGGGCTGACTATACATGTTCAGTATGTATAAATATGGTAACCTTTCTAACCCATAATTCTCACCCACAACATTCCACGCTTAAAAGCAGATACAGGAATTCTGCATGACGGGGACAAAACATTACAGAAACGGCAGGAGGTAAGAGACAAAGGCTTCCGACCAGTGAGAATTGGGTATAATTCAGTTGCTCTTGAGGACTCAGGAGAGGTTAGAGAATTGCACAATTGCTCTTTACCATATGATGTCTGTTCACTGTTGTCCCCTCAGTGTGCACAACCACAAGGAACAGAGACTTCTGGCCAATAAAACTCATAACTGGAAAGAACTTACTTTCCAAATCAATTAAAAAGTAAAATTCCAAAACAACTCTGAGTTCAAAAACAAGGAAACCCTTAAGTCATTGTAGAACTCATTTTATTCTAATATATTTATAGATTTAAAATCCAGAATACATTTCCTAGCTTAATTTTTCCCACCCACCACAGTGATTAAATTATGGGTAAAAGGCTGCAAATTCACACAACTGGGTGAATTATTAAGAAATGGATTGGTCACTTGGGAATTTGGGCTACCAAAGATGCATCCTGAGAAAAAATGAAGGAGTAATTGTCTTCAAAGGCAGGCAAGCTTTTGAGTTCTAGAATCTGAGGCTGTCTTGTTCTGGGATTGCAGTACATGGATTAATTGCCAGGAATGATACAGGGAGGCTGACCCAAATCGGCCTTTCTAGAAGAATACCCAGGGAAACAAGCAAATCCACCTGGATTATCTGAGGCTGGGGAATATGCAAAAGTGTTTTGAAGCCCCCTGCCTGGGAAGGCTTCAGGTGGATTTGCTGAGGCCAGGAAACAAGGCAGGTTTTCACTGTGACCTCCTTACTAGTAACCAAGACAACACAGGCCATAGCCTCTGCCTGTCTCCCCCTGGGCCCTGGGTCCTGACACAAGCCTGAGAAAGAGAAGAAAAACATTTGCCACAGGGAAGGCAAAAGAATGATTTCAGATTGTTGTTGATCTTGGCAAGTGCAGAAGCTGAGAGCCAGAGCCAGATCTGATGATTTACAACACTAAAGAAATGCAATGATTTATTTATTTATTTTGACTCTTGGGCATTGAGGAGAATTCCATCCTCTACACCCAACATTCTTTTCTACTCTTGAGCAAAATTCTTCTGACTGGACTTGTTTCCTTTCATTCTTCTTACGTCGTTTTCACTGCCTTTGGGTCCCCAGGTTAGCTGCAACAGCTAGATCCTGATATTCAGGCTGCTACAGAATCTGTATTGCCTTAGTTCCTAAATCAATATCTCCAATGCCAAGGTTGCTCTCATTGGAAATGCATCACTTGTTCACTGAGAACCTCTTGTGCCTGGCTCCCCTAGGGCTCCCTGAATCTTCCTGCTCACCTTCAAGAATCTTAGTATGATCTGAGGACCCATCAGTTCCACACCTGGTATACACCCAAGAGAACTGAAAATGTATATTCACATAGAAACTTGTATATGAACGTTCATAGTAGTCATATGCATCATAGCCCAAAGTGGAAACAACCCAAATATCCATCAACTGGTGAATAAATAAACAGATCATGGAATGTTTCATGGAATTTTATTTTGTCCTAAAAAGGTGTAAAGTCCTGATACATACTACAACATGGATGAATCTTGAAAATATACTGAGTAAAAAAATCCAGGCACAAAAAGACATATTGTGTAACTCTAGCTACATAAAATATTCAGAATAGGAAAATCCATAGAAATATAAAAATGGAGGTTACCGGGGACTGGGGAAGGGAGATTTGGAGTGACTGCTTCTAGATACTGGGTTTGTTTACTGGAATGATAGAAATATTCTGGAATTAGTGGTAATGGTTGCATAGTATCATTAAAATGCTCAAAACCACTGGACTGTTCACTTTAAAATGGTGAAAGGTTAAATAAATTATAATTCAAATTAAAATTCTAAGGTTCTGAAGAAGATGACAGGATGAAGAAGAGAAAGGAGGAGAAGCAGGAGGAGGGGAAAAGAGAAAGGAAGGAGGAAGCCATGGTTTAGATCTTGGGGTCCCCAGAGCCTGGTGTGTTAAGGGCTTGATCACCAGCTGATAGAGCTATCGGGATCTGGTGGAACCTCTAGGAGGTGGGGCCTGGTAGAAGGAAGTTGAAGGATATTGGGATCTTGCTCTCTCCTCCTCTTTCTCTGCTTCCCAACAACCATGAGGTCAGCAGCTTTGCTGACCACACACTCCTGGCCATGATGTTCTGCCTCATCATGGGCCCCAAATAGCAGGCCCAAGTAATCATGTCTGAAACTTTTGAAACCAGGAGCCAAAATAAATCTTTTTCTCTTTTAAAGTTGATTATCTCAGGTATTCTGTCTAGAAATGAAAATCTAATAAACACAAAGAAGGAGGAGGACCCATTGGCTTTGAGTTGTTAGCCTTGAGCCCTTCCTCCCCCTTCTTAGTGGTCTAATCTAACCCCAGGCCCTCTGCCTGCTCTCTTCGGTTCTGAGGATCCATCATCCTGGCAATGAGCCGAAGGCTGAGAAACCTCCGACCAGGCCTTGTTTTTCCTGACCCCAGAGCCTTGAACTCAGCTCTACCTATGCTCCGAGTGATGACTGCCGAGCAAACACCCCACCCCTCTGTGGGTCCCCTGATAGAAGAGCCAGAGGAAACTCTTACCCGAGTCACTTCTGAATTGTGGACACTCCTGAAGAAGTCATTTGTTCTGAAGCCAGCTTATTTCCTTTGAGGAATATGAACCTTAGACTTTCTGTTAGTCAACTTTTTGTGCCAGTGACCACAATACCCAACAAGAACATCTGAGAGGAGGAGAAGTTTATTATGGCGCATGGTCTCAGAGGCTCAGTCCATGGTCGGCCAGCTCAATCCCACTGGGCCCTAGGGAGGAGGAACCTCATGGAAGATGGGCTTGGCAGAAGAACACTGTTCACGGCAGCTTGGAAGCAAAGAGAGAGAAAGGGGAAGGGGCCACAGGGAAGACGAACCTTCCAGAGCATCACCCTGTGACCCACCTCCTCCAGGCTCCCGACCTGCCTACAGTTACCACCCATTCAGTCCATTCAAACTAGGATGAACTGATTAAGTTTCAGTTCTCATAATCCGATCATTTCACTTCTGAATATTCCTGCATTGGCACGGGAGCTTTGGGGAGAATATACATAAAGTGTCTCCCAAATAATGACCTTATTTTAACTCAAACATCTCTGTAAAGACCCCATTTCCAATGGGCACACCTCTAATTACAGTGACTCTGGAGGCTGAGGCAGGAGAGTCCCAAGTTCAAAACCAGCCTCAGCAACTTAGCGAGACTCTGTCTCAAAATTTAAAAATAAAAATAAAAAAGGGAGAGGGATTTGGCTCAGTGGTTAAAGGCCTTTGGGTCCAATTCTTAGTACAAAAAAAAAAAAAAAAGTAACCATTGGGGGAAAAGGCATATAGGGTCTACTTGTTCTCTTTGTATTATTTCTTACAACTACATGTGAATCTATGGTTATTCCCAAATATTTTTAATTTTTTTTAAATAGCTACAAGTTATGTCAATGTAACCCAAGAAAGTAGTTGTCATTGAATATGAATGAAATTGAATGTTATTTCCATCTAAGTGCAATTCAAGATGTGTTCGGTCTCTTTTTTTAAGAGATAGGGAAACAATGTGAAAAATTCAAAAGTTCATCTGGATAAAAAAACAAGCAAGAACAGCAAAGAAACTTTGTCATTCCTGTGTTGGAAACTCAAGTCTATAATGCCATTGTGTTATGGGGACTCTGCCCTGGAGAATGGATCAATGGACCGTTATCCCCAAAGTGGGTTCCTGACACAGGGAGAGTTCAGCCATGTCTCTGTCTGTGTCACTGCTCTTGCTCTCCACTGGAATGTTCTTGTTCTTCTGCCTTCTACCATCAAATAATGTAGCAAGAAGGCCCTTACCAAATTGGGGCCCCTAAACTTTGGACTTCCCAGTCTCCAGAACTGTAAGAAATAAATCCCTGTTCTTTATTAATTACCCAGTCTCAGGTTTTCTGTTACAGTGACAGAAAAAGGACTAAGACAGGCACAAGACTTGGAAAATAAGCTGGCAGCATTTGTATAAAAGAAAAAAGTCTGGGCTGTGATTGTGGCTCAGTGGTAGAGTGCTTGACTGGCATGTGTGAGGCAATGGGTTCCATCCTCAGCACCACATAAAAATAAAAATAAAGTAAATGTACTGTGTTCATCTACAACTAAAGAAGAAAATTTAGAGAGAGAGAGAGAGAGAGAGAAAATCTTTAAATTATTTCCTGCCAATCAAGAATTCCACAGTAGAAAATCTATTTTAGACAAACTTAAATTCACTAGGTGAATTTTGTAGAAAGATATTCATTATAGTGTTATTTTAATATTGAAATAAGAGGGGGAGTATTAAATTATGATAATTTGCTGCCACTAAAATGTTTACAAGAAGTTTGTAATAGGGAAATCCTTATTTTTATAAAGGCTCAAAGACTATATAAAGGGTCATTTTATAGATAATGTGATTAATATGCATTCAATAAAACCTGGATATGTTTGACAGTATCAAGGATTATTAATTTTTTATTTTCCCTCATCATCTGTACATACTTAAAAATTCAGGGAGAAATGAAAGAATATCTAAGCTTGCTCCAGTTGGAGGTGGGAGCTATTTCTGCTTAGATGAGAGAGTGCCGAGCCAGGTGTTGAGTACCCTGGTTACATTATGCCACTCTTTCTTTTTTTTTTTTTGGTGCTGGGGACTGAGCCCAGGGACTTGTGCAAGCACTCTACCAACTGAGCCATATCCCAGCCCCACTCTTTCTGTTTTTGATGTTAGAAAACTATCCACAATAAAAGAGCTTTATAAGTCTGAAGCACACAAAACGCTGGCATTGGACCATGGGTGATTTCCAATCCTCTGAATTCCTTTGTTGTACGTGTTGATGGGGATTGAACCCACGGCCTTCTGCATGAGAGGCACGCACTCTACCAACTGAGCTATATCCCCAGCTCTGTGCATGTTTTACACTTATGTTAATCATAAACTTTTTAGTGAAAAGGGAGCAAGTATAGGCAAAGCCTTCTCCTTCCATGCCTGGGGAGTGGGAAATAACCTCAATCCACACATCACTCGAGTCTTTTCAAAGAGAATTTGTATGTATTCTTTCACAAAAGCCTCATAATCACACTGGCAGATTTTATTTAGGAAGCCACAGGTGGAAGCGAAGGAATGTCTGGTCATACTAGTTCCACGCCTAGACTTGGGCATTTCTGACCGCGCTTCGGAATTTTCCCAGCACAGAGCAGATTGCTGGGATTTCAAGGGGTCGGGGGAGGCACCTGCAAAAGAGATTGGTAGACTGGGAGAACCAGTCTAAGGAAATAAAACGAAGCACAAAGATGTGTTCTTCTCTGGGTTCTTCTCTTCCAGTTCTTCCCGCCCCCACCCCTTCAAACATTTGACATTATCTTGGGGAAGAGGAGCAGGAACAAGGCAAAGTGGCGGAGTCAGTCGTGGCCACTGCTGGAGGGAGCAGGTAGTCAGTACCGCGTTCCCACTACCCCTGCCCGCGGGAGCCACACGGCCACAACACCTCCGCAGTCTCCCACCCACGCGGAGCGCAGATTGACAAACGCAGTGCCACCTGAGTCCAACTTGGGAGTAGGAGCAGCAGGAGCTGCCAGAGGACAGGAGCGAGGGGAGCCGAAGAAGTCAGGAGTGAACGCCGAGCCGCAGAGTGTACGAGAAGGAGTTTGCCCTCGGTTGGCTGTGCACTGCCTCGGCATGGGACACTAGCCCTAAAAGACTTTGGGAGTCCCCAGGAGCGAGAAGGGGAAGATGCTGGGCTTGGGCAGGTGAGGTCCCTAATCCTTTCTGCGCACTGCCCGGGGCTGTCCCGCTACAGGAGCGATGGCGCCGGGGTCACGGCGGCCGCCGGGGCTTCTTCCAAAGTTGGGGTGGGGATGCTGAGTCACTGATCTGTCACTACTTTGCACCTCTCCTCAGCCCTCCGGGGGCTAAAGCAAAAGCGAAAGCGAATGCATCTGGCGGGCGGTGGATCCCGGAGCTGCGCTCGCCACTTTCCCGGGTCCGGGGCATTGCACTCGCGGCTGTCCCGGGGCGTCCTGGCGGAGCACCGCGGGCAGCGCGGCCATGGTCCGGCGGTGGTTCCTGAGCTCTGGAGTCCACGCCCTCCGTGGACTGCTGCTGCTGCTGCTGCTCCGGCTGCCGGTGACGCCGGGTAGGGAGCGGCTTGCGCCCGGGCGGGGCTGCGAGCGGGGCCGGGGAGCCGAGCGGGATGGCGCCTAGCGCCCCACCTCCCCGGGCCGGGCCAGAAGTCGGGCCCCGGAGGAACGCGGTGTGTGCTGACACCAGGCGGGAGGGACACGTGGAGAAGCCGCGGAGAGGGCAGGGAAGAGCGCCGCTTCTGCCCTGCTTGAGCGAGCCGAGCGGCCAGCTGCGCACGCAGGGAGGAGAAGCCGGGTTTGGCAATGGGAGCGGAATGTCAGTGTTGCAGGGCAAGTTCCAGAAGTGTGTAAGTGCGCCTCGGTGCGGGGCTGGTACTGCACACGGTCCCCCGAGAGGCCCGGGAACACGACCCCTCTCGACGTTCAGGCAAAAATAAATTACATGGATGGGCAACTGGAAGAGCGGGGTAAGGACTCTGTCCCTGGGGAGGAAAAACGTGTCGGGCAAGTTGCACACCTGGGGACCTGGAACCAACTCCCAGTTCTTAAGTGGGCGGGAAATCGGGAACCGGGATGGTACCGGCAGCTCCTAGTAAAGGGGAAAGAAACGAAGCTGGTGATCATTTGGTGTGTGGATCTCGTAGATCTGAGAATGGATTGAGTGACTCGTGGGTTTTGTTCCGGGACCTATAGAAAGGAAGAGGAAAGATAGATGAATCTATTGTGTTCTTGTAAGTTTTTCTTCATCGTCTTATAGTGAAGGAGCTTTGTCAGTATCTGATAAAAAGCCATAAATTCTCTCTCTCTTGAAAAAATGCATAAATGTACACACTTAGAAAAAATGTGCATGGGATTTGGGGGTCAAGAACCTACCGAATGTCATCCAAGGATATCCATGAAAGTTAGGAACCCCAAGATCTCCATGCGCTTTCAACCAAGACCTCCAATAATTTACATGCAGTCCAGTGGGGCCAGTCTGTCTGCTGGGATTTGGCCAGTACCAGCCCTTTCACAGTTGCTGCTGCCTGGCTTGATCTGAACCCCATAGTTCCACTAAGTTTTATGAAGTTTCATTTTTGTAAGACAGTGATTCTGGATTTTCCCCTACATATGAGAAGCTGAGTTATGTTGGAGACTTGGTCATTTCCTCCCCACTGTGTAAACAGTGTCCTGAGATGATTTCTGAGGAGATGCTAGAAATAACCAGCAATAAGCTGCTCTATTACATAATGTGAAAGTGAAATGCAGCTTTGGTCAGTGCCCAGCTGAACTGCAGGTGTCTGTCCATCTGAAAGTAATAGGAGAGCACTGAAGCTTGTGGACTACACACAGGCTTGCCCTCTGACCTTGCAAAGGTGTTGCTGCCTTTGGGTGGATCCTGATGTTTGTTTGTTCACTCCTTTAAAAAAAAATAGCCTTATTAAAGTGTAGTTGACAGATAATAAAGTGCATATATTTAAACTGTGCAATTCAATAAGGTTAGAGGTAAATGCTACACTCATGAGACCACATAATCCATTGCTATTGCCTGTCCTCTTACCCTGCATTTTTACCACCCACCCCACCCTGCCTCCAGCAATTACTGTCAATAATTTTGTTACACTTTCTAGAATTTCATATAAATATATGGAATTATACAATAGATACTCTTTCTTGTTTGACTTCTTTCACTCAGTATTTTTTCTGAGAATTCACAATATTGTTATGGTTGTGTATATAGTCATTTGGTGCTCAGGGACAAGGACCATAGTCTTATTTAAATCACTACTCTTGATGCCTACAATAAAATACCTGTCACATGGTAGCATACCATAAAATTTTGTTGCTCATTTGAGTAAGATGCCTAAATGAAATTAGGCTTAAAGGAAAGTTCACAGATATTAAACTAACAGAAAGATAGTAAAAGTCAAAATAAGATTTTTATATTCCTGCTTATCTTTTTTAAAATTAATTTATTTTTTAATTTACTCTGATTTGTTATACATGATGGCAGAATGCAATTCATTTCATATTATACATATAGAGCACAACTTTTCAAGACACTGATTGTACACAGAATATTTTCACACCATTCGTTTCTTACACATGTACTTAGGGTAATGATGTCTAACTCATTCCACCATCTTTCCTACCACCTTGTCCCCTCCCGTCCCATCCCTCCCCTTTGCCCTATCTAGAGTTCCTCCTTTCCTCCCATGCTCACGGCCCCACCTTATCGCCATTATGCCTGTGTGCATCTGCGTCCTCATATCAGGGAAAACATTCGGCTTTTGGTTTTTTAGGATTGGCTTGCTTCACTTAGCATTATATTCTCCGACTTCATCCATTTATCTGCAAATGCCATGATTTTATTCTCTCTTAATGCTGAATGTTCCTTTGTGTATATATACTGAAGTTTCCCTATCCATTCATTTACTGAAGGGCATCTAGGTTGGTCCCATAATTCAGCTATTGTAAATTGTGCTGCTGTAAACGTTGATATGGCTGTGTCCCTGTAGTATGCTGTTTTTAAGTCCTTTCGGTATAAACCGAGGAGTGGGATAGCTGGGTCAAATGGTGGTTCCATTCCCAGTTTTCCAAGGAATCTCCATACCCCCATATTGGCTGTACCAATTTGCAGTCCCACCAGCAATGTATGAGTGTACCTTTCCTCCCACATCCTCGCCAACACTTATTGTTGTTTGTATTCTTAATAGCTGCCATTCTGACTGGAGTGAAATGAAATCTTAGAGTAGTTTTGATTTGCATTTCTCTAATTTCTAGAGATGTTGAACATTTTTTCATATGTTTGTTGATTGATTGTATATCCTCTTCCAAGAAGTGTCTGTTCAGTTTCCTGGCCAATTTATTCATTGGGTTATTTATTTATTTATTGGTGTTAAGGTTTTTGAGTGCTTTATATATCCTAGAGATTAGTGCTCTATCTGATGTGCTTGTGGTAAAGATTTGCTCCCATTCTGTAGGCTCTCTATTCACCTCACTGATTGTTTCTTTTGCTGAGAAGAAGCTTTTTAGTTTGAATCCATCCATTTATTGATTCTTGGGTTTTTTAATTAATGATTTATTTATATATGACAACAGAATGCATTGCAATTCTTATTACACATATAGAGCACAATTTTTCATATCTGTGGTTGTATACAAAGTATATTTACACCAGTTTATGTCTTCATAATTATTGCGCTATAGGAGTTTTATTAAGAAAGTTGGGGCCTAAACCAACATGATGGAGATTTGGGCTTACTTTTTCTTCCACTAGGTGCAAGGTCTCTACTTTAATTCCTAGGTCTTTGATCCACTTTGAGTTGAGTTTTGTGCATGGTGTGAGAGAGAGAGGTTTAATCTCATTTTGTTACATGTGGATTTCCAGTTTTCCCAGCACCATTTGTTGAAGAGGCTACCTTTTCTCCAATGTATGTTTTTGGCACCTTTGTCTAATATAAGATAACTGAAGTTATGTGGGTTAGACTCTGTGTCCTCTATTCTGTACCATTGGTCTACAGGTCTATTTTGGTGCCAATACCATGCTGTTTTAGTTACTATTGCTCTGTAGTATAGTTTTAGGTCTGGGATAGTAATTCCACCAGCTTCATTCTTCTTGCTAAGGATTGCTTTGGTTATTCTGGGTCTCTTATTTTTCCAGATGAATTTCATGATTGCTTTCTCTATTTCTATAAGGAATGCCACTGGGATTTTGATTGTGATTGCATTGAATCTGTATAGTGTTTTTGGTAGTATGGTCATTTTGACAATATTAATTCTGCCTATCCAACAACAAGGTAAATCTTTCTATATTCTAAGGTCTTCTTTAATTTATTTATTTAGCATGTTGTAGTTTTCATTGTAGAGGTCTTTCACCTCTTTTGTAAAATTTATTTTTATTTTTTGAGGCTATTGTAAATGGGGTGATTTTCCTAGCTTCACTTTCAGCTGATTTGTCACTGATGTACAGAAATTGATTTATGGGTGTTTGATTTATGGGTGTTGATTTTATATCCAGCTACTTTGCTGAATTCATTTATTAATTCTAGGAGATTTCTGGTGGAATGTTTTGGTCTTCTAGGTATAGAATCATATCGTCTGCAAATAGTGATGATTTGAGTTCTTCTTTTCCTATCCATATCCCTTCCCTGCTTATCTTATAATGTTCTATTGTAGAGTATTGGAGTAAATGACATGAGAGAAATTCTATAGAATTATTGGCCTACTTTCAAAAAAAAAAAAAGAATTCACTATATTGTTACGTGTCCAGTAATTCATTCCCTTCTATTGCTGAATTGCATTTCATTCCATGGCTGTCCTGTCACATGTTAATGAATGTTTGCCTTGTTTCCATTCTTTTGGCTTCTACGTATAAAGCTGTTAAGAATGTTCATTCTACATGTTTTCCTGTGGCCCTATGTGCCTTCATTTCTCTTGGGTAGAGATTGGATAGGAGAAGAGTAGCTGGATTGGATGGTGGGCATGATGTTTGACTTGTAAGAATGTGCGGAACCAGTGTCCAAAGTGGTGGTACTATTTCACACTCCCACCAGTAGTGTGAGAGTTACAGTTCTTCCATGTCCAGGTCAGCACTGGATATGATGAGTCTTTTTTTTTTTAAATAAACTTTTTTTTAAAAAAAACATTTATTTTTTAGAAGTAGTTGGAAATAATACCTTTATTTTATTTATTTATTTTTATGTGGTGCTGAGGATTGAACCCAGGGCCTCCGCACATGCTAGGTGAGTGCTCTACCACTGAGCCCAACCTCAGCCCCTGATGAGTCTTTTATTTATGTCCAATCTAATAGGTAATGCAATGGTCTCTTGTTCTAGTTTTAATTTGCATTTTCTTAATATGTAGAAACGTTGAGCATCTTTTTCATGTGCTTCTGTACCTTGTACACGCCTTCTTTGGTGAAGTGTCTGTTTAAATCCTTTGCTCTTTTATAAATTGAGTTGCACTTTTATTGAGTTTTAAGAGTTTTTTATGGGGGCTGGGGCTGTAGCTCAGTGGCAGAGCACTTGCCTAGCATGCATGAAACACTCCTACAATCCCGCACTGGGTTTGA